GGCTCAGTGTGGTGTAGGACAAGAGGGGTAGGGTTGCAGCCGACATTACCACTCTACCCAGGCCGGCAAGTCTCTCCTGCCCAATGATGGTAACTCATTCCAGCTCCCAGAGAGCTGCCTGCAGAGCTCAGACAGCTCACTGCAGGTGCAACGTCTCCGTCCAGCCCTCCCTGGCCTCTTGAGTGCAGGCATGGGGAGACCACATGACCAAGGCATATCTCCCTCTGCAGCCCTGGCCATCACTGTGTCTTCCAGCAGTACTAACAAACCCAGCACCCCGAGGAGCTACATTCTCCTCCTTAACGCAAAGTTTAAACCGTATGGCTCTGAGGCCATTTTCCATGTGCCAGATCAGCGTCTCCAGCCTGTCTGCAGGACCACTTGAGAGTCTAGGCCACATTCAAAGATGTCTGATTAGCATGTAAATTAGCCTCGGATCCTGCAGCCTTCTGCAAGGGCATCCAAATGCTTCGGGCAGACATGGAGATAGGTCGATGGATAGACGATAGACAGAAAGACAGACCATGACAGAATTGGTTACTGGAAACAAAGACTTTGTCAATCACCAATTATCTGATAATAGAGTGAAATTCTGGGGAGGGAAATACCACAGGAAGACTTCAGTCCAATCTGGACTGTGGTGCTGCACACCATTAACCCCAGTGCTTGGGAGGCAGAGGCAGGTGGATCTCTGAGTTCGAGGCCAGCCTGGCCTACAAAGCAAGTTCTAAGACAGCCAAAGCTACACAGAGAAACTCTGTCTTGAAAAAAACCAAAACAACACCACCAACAAAAAGGGCTTCATTTTTTGACCATGTGCTAACTGTTCAGCCAACTAGTCTTTTGCCAGAAACTAAGATGCCAGGAGTTCACTGGTACCCATATTCTCTTACAACCCCAAACACAGGGATCAGCTAATGATTTCTAGCCCACTATTTATTTTGGTAAATAAAATTTTATTGGTAAATAGTTTTACTTATTCATTTTCATGTTGTTTCTGGCTGCTTTCTCATCATAAAGGCAAAGTTGAAGAATTGCAAAGACAAAACAGAAACAAACAAACAACAACAACAACAACAAAACCAACCATGTAGCCTTGTTAAGTCAAATATATGGTCTGGACCTTTATATATATATAAAAAAAGTGTGTGTTGAATCCTGTAGCAGGTCATCATAAGATAGCAGAAAGATGAGACACTGGATAATTAGAGCTAGGTCTGAGTGTCATCTGTACACACATTAGAGGCAGTACCTGAATTCTTTTTTTTTTTTTTTTTTTTGAGACAGGGTTTCTCTATATTGCTTTGGAGGTATCCTGGAGCTCACTCTTGTAGACCAGGCTGGCCTCAAACTCACAGACATCTGCCTACCTCAGCCTTCCAAGTGCTCAGTGCCTGAAATCTTACGCAGGGCAGACACACACTGTTGGTAGCGATTTGATTGGGAGAGAGAGGCCCAGGAAACTTGTCTCACAACTACCCCCCCCCAAAAAAAACCTTGAAAACAAAAGTCCTGTATAACCTTAATGTTTGTCTTTTTATCTATTCAGAGCACATTTATGGCAAGCGCTCACTTTGTGTTGGGGCTTGTTCTAGCTGGTTCTGTTCTAGCAGAAGCAATAATATCAGCGAGTCCGGGTCTCCATGAAGCCTACATTCTAAATAGGAAGAGAGACAAGAAGCGAAGACACACCACCTGGGGTGGTGTCAAATAGTACTACAAGGGGAAATAATTTGAGGGACGGACGAGAGAGGCTTAGAGAGGCGTCGTTCCACGTGGGCAGGTCTGAGGAAGACAGAGTTAAGAAGAGGCAGGAGGTAATCAAAGAAAACACGTGCTATCTGAAAAGAAAAGTGTTCCAAAGAACAGAACGTGCAAAGACCCTGCCGTTCCAGCGCGTGTGGCGTCTGCGGGGCAGCACCGAGGGTCAAATGGATGGAAGAGGTAAGGAAAATGCACCTTGTATCGAGAACATTAACTAGAGGCCAAAGTCCCCGGCCGTCACAGAGTTCCATGTGGTTTTCCAAGTGTGATGCTCCGGTTGTGGATTTTGATGCACCTGAATTCTCAAATATTCCTTTGGTGCTTGAGTGGAGGAGAAACTGTTAGGATCTGGGTGGAAATGGAGGGGGGGGGCTAGTTAGATGACTCCATGAGCCAGGCTACAGACAGAATCAGGGAGAAGGAGTCGGCAGCCATCAGAGTCATCAATCCCCACCTCACCAGAGCCTCCCCTGCTGAGGTCCAATGACTAAAGAGAGTGACAATTTCACCAAGTCTAATGTGTGTCACGCAGCTCTCCTGGGCCTGTGGGGTCCTCTGAGGATAAGTGGCTTTTACATACTGTGCTCTGCTCACATCTACTGGCTTGAAGTGACCACAGACCCTCTGTGGACACACGAAGCTGCAAGGGTGCTCTGGCTGTGGGACAGGACAGTCAGATTCTGGGAATCTCTGGAAGCAGGGGGAATGGGTTCACTTAGGGGGATGGCATTGAAGGGGAACTCAGGACAGTACTTAATCCAGGAAACAAGACATGCTGGCCACCACTGGCCACTGGCCCATGAGGTTAGCTGAGACTCCTGGCAATCCAAGGTGTGTGTGAGAGAGAGAGAGAGAGAGAGAGAGAGAGAGAGAGAGAGAGAGAGAGAGAGAGAGAGAGAGAGAGACTGTCTGTATTCCAGGCTTCTAAATATCAGAAGTAAAAGAGTTTCTTAATGTCGTGCCTGGGTGACAGTCAGGGCCGGGGTCAGCCAGCAAGTGGGTTGGTCAAATAGTGGGACACTGCTTCCCTCTTGGTAAGCAGCAGAAGCATGGATTCCTTCTGAGCCTTGTCACCTGGACCCCAAGTGTCCCAGCGCTGAAGCCGATGACCTGGCCTCAGGAGGCAGTGCAGTGCTCAGCCACTGCCCCCAGCTGCAGCTTTTGTCTCCCTGTTGGTGGCCTCTGCCACCCTCTGAGTCGCTCCTTCCCTGTTCTGCCTTCTCCTTAACAACCTCCTGCCATGCTCCTCTCTGCACAGGACTCCCTCCCGTGGAGAGCCTACTCAATTCCCAGCCCCTCTGGTGGCCCTCAGTCCCCCAGCCCTACCCCTCCCATACAGCAAGAGAGGACTCAGGGACCACTGGACACTGAGAGGGTCTCTCCGATAGCTTTCCATCTCCCAGCTAGCTCAGGTGAGGTTTCACCAAGCTCCATGGAAGACCTGGGATTCTCACTACAAGCCTGCTGGCTCCGGCTCCAGCGAGGTGATCAGGAAGGGCCTCCTGGGTGAGCTTGGCCTCAGTCTGGCTCCCCTCTTGGGGCACAGAGCCTGGCAACTAACTGCATACCTTCTCAGATGGCCCAGCTCTCTGCTGTCCCTCCTTAACCGAACCCCAACAAGGACCGTCTCCTCAGAACTCCCTAAGTAGACTAGATCCTTCCACAGGGCCTAAGCTCATGGCTCCATTAAGTCAACTCTTCTTGCTGAGAAATGTTTGGATGCCTATTGCTGCTGGTGCTGTCAGGGAACCCCCAAGACCTGGCAGTGAGTCCTATTTATCTTTTTACCCTAGCACCTGACCACAAATGATACCGAGGTATGTGACCAACAAAGCATCAGGAAGGGGTTTTAAAACTGAAAAATGATGGAGGGATGGCTCGGAGCTTTTCCAGAGGTTCTGAGTTCAATTCCCAGCAATCACATGATGGCTCACAACCATCTATAATGAGATCTGGTACCCACTTCTGGTGGCCTTGGGTGCTTTGGATCCCCTTCTGCCTCTGCCACTACTGGAAATGAGTGCTTTAGCCATGGTGGCCTCCGCTCAAGGCCCACCCCCTCCCCCCATCTTGCCTTCCTGATTCCCAGCATCCAGCATGTGATGGGTATTCAGTAGGTATCTGTGAGTGAATAACTGTTCTTCCCTGTGGCTGGCCCATGGGTCAATGATGTCATGCTATTCCAGGTTCAAGTCTCTCTTGAATCTCTGTTCCACAAAGGCCCCACCCTCTTGTGTGAATGCCCCAATGACCTTCCCAGATAAAGCAAGAGTCCAAATTCCCAGCCTTTTTTATCCCCCACCCCCAGACAAATCCAGATTAAGTCAGATTCTCATCTTGAAATGACAAAGTCAAAGACACAGGCAGCTACAGGCACCTGGAGGGACCACCTGACCTCATCCTTCCCAGCAGCCTTTGGCATCAGAACCTATTTTTGAACTAACTTAGCTAGCACACCAAATGTCAGCATCAACACAATTTTTACAACTCAGATCTGGCCTGGCACAGAAGGAACCTGCCATCCTGTGGCACCTGTATCCTCTTGGAGAGCCACCAGGCTTAGCTCCTCTGCATTCCACACAGGAGAATGTTGGCACTCGAACAAAACAAAGCCTCAAGAGCTACTGGAGCCGCCAGGCTTCCATCTGCCTCAGGCTGCCCCAACATGCCTGGCGCTCTAACCCAGCCTTTCTCCAGCTTTCTCAGAATCTGTAGCCACTCAGGCCCTCCTCCACCTATAAGCCTTTGCCCTCCCTCCCCCCCCCTTGAATCTTGCCAGGAACTAGCAGCAGAAAACGTGGCCTCTGGAAGACCTTCGCCTGCTACCAGCAGAGCTCCTGGAATTTATCTCAGACAGGCAGGAGCCAGGGGTGAGTCAGACCAGGTGGCTCTTGAGTGTGTTTGAAAGATGAATTTAAAAGGGCAAGTCAAACCGTACTCTGTGTGCTCTGGGCGGGCTCCTTCACTAACTGCACTAATATTAGAGCCCGCAAGCCCTTTGGACCTCTCTGTGCCCAAGTGCCCTAGGATACCTCAGTCCAGCGACAAGGGACTGATTCTCCCCCCCAACACACCCTCTCCTACTGTCACCCTGTTTGTACTGGTCACCTTTCACATTCAGCTTTGCACTCAACCTCTCTTCCCTGCGTTGCAGGTGGCCTAACGCTGGGCGGGTGAGCTGAAGGTCTCTGCGTGGGCGTAGCGCCCTCTGGCGGGAGGATGGCGCTGGCACTCACCGGCGTGGGCGCATTCACCACGGAGAGGTTGTACCCATAGAGGAAGGAAGATCCGAAGGCTCCCACGAGAGCGGCCACGACGAGCGACCAGGACCAGTCCTGGGAAGGGATAGGAAAGCGTCTGAGTGGGGTGCCCCCTTAATGGGAAGGCGGTTCAGAGGGAATTCAGGCGGGGGAAACGCAGGTTGGGGAAGGGGGTGGGGGATGGGGGGTGAGGCAGGCAGAGTTCACACCCTAAGATCCCTGCAGGGCTGCCTGAGGATCTCCGCCCTACCCCCACCCTTCTGCCGAATGTGGCCCTGTCTGACTCAGGAGGAGCAAAAAGCGAAGCTAAGTTCTTAGCAGAAGCGGGCAGTCCTTGATCACTATTGCCAGACATTGTTCTAAGCGTTTTATTCCCCCTGAATGCCTAGACTACTGGTCAGGTTCCATCCAGTGTCACAGAGGAGGGGGGTAGAGCTGTCCCTGGTGCTGCCTGAGGAGGAGCCTGGAGCCTGAGCTGGTTCCCATTGCAGGACAAGGCTCCCTACTAGTGCAGCTGACTCTTCACCTGGGTCCGAGACAGGTGATGGCCACACAGATGCACACCCATGTCCAAGTGTATGTACACACACGCACACAGTTCCAGACCAAAGCATCAGCCTGCAAATGGCTCCGCACACCTAAGATAAGGACCTGCAGGTAGAGATGCAGGGCTTCTGCTAAAAATGCCACATCTGTATCCAGGTGCTCCTGTCCCAGCCTCATCCAAGAGGACCACAGCCAGGATCTGGCCATACTCATAAATGCCTGGGGACTGGGGCACTGCCACAGGCTTGTGACCTGGTGGAGGGGACCAGGACATGTGTTCTGTTGTGATTTGTAGATTCGAGGTCCACACCACACACACACACACACACACACACACACACACACACCTGTATGTGCCAAGGGTGTGCCAAGATAATATCTACTTTAGAGACCAAGATCAAGCACACATATAGTGTGGAAGGAGACACTGGCCCCTAACTGCAATTCCATGCTCCATCCTTAGTCTCTTCTGGCTGGGTTCCAGTACCACACAACTGTGGGCATCTGAGCAGAGCAAGGGCTTCCTGGGGCTCAGCTTAAAATGGGGCTGCCGAGAAAGCAGTGGGCTGCTAGACAGCCAGTTCTCAAAGAAAACAGAAAGTCCTTTACTTCCTCTCTTCCCTCTAGCCCAGCCTCTGCCAAGACAGACAAGCTTTGACTCTCCACCCTGTCCACCTAAAGTCCTCTAAGAGGCGCTCTCATTACCTGACACCCACTGCCAAAGCCCCCTCCTCTGGGAAAATTCTAGAAAGCCACCTACTTGCCTCACCTTGGCTTGCATGTTAATCTTTGATTCAGCCTTGCATCTTAACACTGCAGCTTTCACAGTGTTGTAGGCTTTGACCACTTACACGGCCAGTTCCTTCGCTCCGCCCCACTTCCTCCTCTTTAAGATGAGGGTGATAATAGAGTTCACACCATAAGGGGTTTGCATAAAGAAGCGGAGAGCCTGGCACTGTGGCACGTGGCACGTGTCCCATGTCAGGCTCCGGGGGGTGGGGCATGACCTGAGGGTTGGAGCTATGTTGTTTGTGTCCCGTGTCTCTGTGCCAAGCCTGTTGCTGAGGCAGCCCTGAGTAGACGCTGGTAGCATGGTGGAAGACAGGGAGTGGGTGTTGTCACTCCAGGGATGGGCATTGCCAAATAAAATGGGCCTAGAGCAGGGCTGTACTGTAGAGGAGTTTAAGTTCTGCCCAGGTCTGAGCTCAGAGACCGTGTCTTCTGAACTGCCCAGCACCAGCTACATGATGCATTTTTTTTCCTCAGCCCTGCACCCCCCCCACCCAGGCTCTCAACTCTGATCTCAGCAGTGGACTGATCCCATCAGATCTGGAGGGACCCTTCCAAGTAGGGGACGATGGCAAGTGGGAGCCATCTCCTGCCTCAGCCCCTCTTCTGAGGGTTCTCGGCTTTTCTGTGGTCTGTTGGTTCACCGTGTGGACTGCTGGCCTCCCCACTCCTGCACACTTCCCACTGACTCCAGGAAAGGGTGGTCAGCCCTGAGAAAGCATGAGGAACCGCATTCTCTGCGTACTGACAGACTGGATACTGGAGGAGAGTCGCCAGAGACAGGGAGTCAACAGGAGGGCGTACACAATTCCAACTCCAGCATTCCTGCTCCGGGTGCCAGACAGAGCTGCCAGACAGAAGCTGAGCTCTGTCCCATAGCAGCCACCCAGGCCTGGACTCCCCACAGCAGAGAAGCCATTCTGAGTTTACCTTCTTCCTCCTCAGCCGGCGACCCACAGGCAGCTCCCCAGTGCAGCTGGTAGCATGTATCAGAGAAGCTAAGGCGAGCTCCCTGGCATTCATGGTTTTGTTTTCTTCCTGGCTCCAGGACCCCGGACTTGCAGGGGCATCTCCACAGTGAGGAGGCAGAGTCCACGGGAAGGAGGGCAGAGCAGGAAGTGCAGCTGAAAGATCGTGTCTGAACAGGAAGAGAGCAACATTGCTCCCTTTCCCCTAAGCAACTGGAGAGTCTAAAAGGGACGCCTGCACTCCTCAGTCACGCCCAAGTCCTGGGGGCCAGGGAGGAGGGTGGGGACAACGGTGTTCCTTTGGCAATTTTTTTTTTTTTTTTCATGATTCTCTTTAACAAGGTCAGAGCTCTGGATGAGGCAGCCAGTGAAAGTTCATTAAGAGTTAAGGCTAAAGGTCATTCATTGGCTTCACTTTAGAAGCTGGCTGAGTTCCAGCGCTGACTTCTCTGCTAATTGTGTGTCCACGGGCAAATCCTGACACTTTTCTGAGCTTCAAATGGAATATTGATCTTTCTCTAAATATCTTGCAGAGTCATTCTGCTGCTCAAATACCAAACAGGCAGCCCCAGCAGCCTGCAGGAATGACTGTGGACCTCTCTGCGGGCTCCAATAAAAGCTCAAGAAAGGCATAAAGAGACAGCGACACCAGGATAACCTGAGAATTAATTCACCCTGTGGCCAGTTTGCCCCACGGTCAGGCAGAGACCTATCTTCAGTGACCCATGGTCAGAACAGGCTGTATCCGTGTTCTGAGGGTCTGGGAAGGGACAGAGGCAGGCTTGGTCAATGCAGAATGCCTAGGAGATGAGGGACAGGGTTCAAGTCCTCACACAAGACTCTGAGAAGCTAGCAAGCTCTATTTGGGGGAAAGGGCACAAGCGGATAAGGAATGTGAGAAGGGGAACTGCCCTGGTTGTCGCAGGCACCTGAAGGCACAACAGCCCCAGAAAGCACAGTTAGGAGACAATGCTGCCCCGGGTGAGCAGGAACCACTCTGAGCAAGAAAATCCAGCTTTAGTCCTCAGCCAGGAATTCTCAGACCCCAGGCGATCGCCCAGTGTGGCGTTCCTCAACCAGGGACACCTCCCGCAGGCACAGATAGCTCATGCAGGTGACTTGTGGAATATCAGTCCAAGATGTGTTACATTTGTTTGTGCTGTGGGATATTTGTTTAATGATGCAAAGATGTGTTACATCCTTTTTTGCGTTGCCTTGGTTTAACTCTGTGAAGCTGAGTTCTTTTGTCTGTCTAAAACACCTGATTGGTCTAATAAAGAGCTGACCGGCCAATAGCGAGGCAGGAGAAAGGATAGGTGGGGCTGGCTGGCAGAATAAACAGGGGGAGAAATCCAGGCTGGAGGGAAAAGGGGGGTAGGCTCGAGAAAAGGACGGAGGACAGGGGCCAGCCACCCAGCCACACAACTAACCATAGAATAAGGAAAGAAACAGGTGTATTTAAGTTGGAAACGCTGACTAGAAAAAAGCTAAGGCCAGGCATTCAGAAGTAAGAATAAATCTCTGTGTACTTATTTGGGAGCTGGGTGTCAGGCCAGAGTCAAAACAAACAAATAAATAACGTCAGGTGACAGGAAAAAAAGACTACATGCTGGGACCTGCATGCTGGGTAGCAGAGAACACACTAAGGGACTTAACCAGGGTCTTATTTCTGTCTTACCCACCACCCAGCTTTCCACGGTGTACTGTTTTCTCACTGCAACAACAGACCTTATCAGCATTAAAAGCTTGCTGAAGTTTCGTCAGGTGACCCCTACCCCACTTAAGCATCCCATGAAGGCAGCAAACTCAAGGGCACCGGGATCCAGGTGGTCAACATACCCATGCAAGTACAGCAGGGCACGATATCACGGAGGGTGCTGGGGCCCTGTGTCACTCTGAGAGCTGTCTTAGGGAACTAAATGCTTCCTACCATACCCTCATCTCGCTTATCATTGAGGACAGTTTGCCTAGAGGTCAGAATTCCCTCTTCTGATGGGCTATTCCAAACTGAAACTTAGAGGGTTGCCAGGGTGATCTAGAGATGACCTCTACATGCCACATCTCTCTCTCTCTCTCTCTCTCTCTCTCTCTCTCTCTCTCTCACACACACACACACACACACACACACACACACACACAGAAAGAGAGAGAGAGAGCCAAGAGTTGACACTTATTATGGTAACAACAGAGAGAAACCATAGTAGGAAAAAACAGAGATGGGCTCAAATTCCTTGAACTTTCCACCTATTGTGAGAAAACACGGATGTCCCTGACTTGCTAGTGTCTCTACTTCTATTCTTTGCCAAGGACACAAGTTTGGCCAAGAGAAGTGAATGGGGGACTAGATGTCCATGTAAAGGGTTCAGCCAGGTGGCTCTGGCTGTAAGCTCTTGGATGTGGTTTCGAGAGGGCCAAGCATTGTTAAGCAAGGGGATCTTTCCAGCTGCTAAGTGCTAGGTTTGAGCCAATCAGACTTGGTCTTCCCACCATTCTACAAACACTAGCAGGCATCCTAAGGTGGGGTGGGGGGAGAGCTCCCTGAGGCCTCCAGACTTTGGGTTAGGAGAAATCCCAGAGGGGAAGCCACTCCCTCAGCTTGTCTCTTAGTTGATTCTGGGCTCTTTGTGGCTCCAAAGAAGTGAACAGCCTGTCTAAATTTGAAAGGCAATCTCCCCAAGTATCCAAACTCCTGGAAAAGGACAAGCCTCTAGGAACTTAGAGACCTCAGGCGTCTAACGGCAAAGGCTTCCTCTTACCCGCTGAAGGCAACTGGAGGTGCCTTTTCTCTACAGCGACACCCACAACTGCTAGATTCCTCGTTTCCCCATAGTGAAAGAAGATCCTCCCCCTCCCTAACTGCTCTACAGCAGCCTCCCACATCTTCTCCAGTGACCCGATACTTCCTCTTTTCCTCCCCTCTTCATCTGGACCCCTGCCACATCCTCTCTGGCATTAAACAAACCCTGTTGCCTGAAGGACTGATCTTTTGTCTGTGTCCTCTGTCCTAATGGAGACCTGCTGTGGGATTCCTAGAGACGGAAGCAGGTGGGGCAGGGGATGGGTTTCAATGTATGTATACTGAAATTGTATGCGTGTGCGTGCGCGCATGCCTGCACGTGTGTCTGAGTGTACAAAGACTGGTGTGTGTGTGTGTGTGTGTGTGTGTGTGTTGTGTGTGTGTGTGTCTGTCTGTCTGGACGTACACATAGGGTCAAGGCCAAAGGTTGATGTTGGATGTCTTCCTCTTACTTTCTACTTTACCTTTTAAGACAGGATCTCTCACCGAATGTGGAGCTCCCCAGTTCCTCAAAGCTGAAGGCTAGCAGGTTCCAGGAACCCACCAGTGCCCACCTCCTGCCTCAGCACCAGAGTTTCCGATGTGCACTCAACACCACTTCTGACCTTTACTAGGGTTCCATGCAACAAGTACTTTACCGCCTGAGCCACCTCCCCAGATCCTCAATGTATCTTTAAATTTAAGAATGATGGTCAAATCAGTGTCATCATCAAGGGAGCCTCACAGCAAGACCATCTCCCTGCAGAACCCATCCCAGACCTCTACATAGTCCACAGCATCCCTCACTGTGTGTCCTCTTGGCCCTCTGCTCTCTGCTGTCGTCACCCCAGGGCCCCTCCCCCTGCAAGGGGGGGCATTAATGAGCAGAAAGGGCTGCCATGTCCCGCTACTGGAATGCACGGGTGAGAGGAAAACACCAAAATACCACCCACCATCTTCCTCTTCTCCCGCTGGCTTTGTTTGTTTTCGGCTGAGTCCTCCTCGCCGAGCTTCATGGTTTTTCAGGTCTTAGGCTTCCTGTTATTCCTAAGAGTGAAAGAAAGGGTGCCATTTAACCTGCTGTGTGTAAGTCAGAGGGGCCCAGGACACGCCTGTGAACTCCAGAGACTAAGGCAGGAGGTCACAAGCCCAGGGCCCTACTTGTCTGCACAGTGAGTCAAGGCCTGTCTGGTAACTTAGTGAGAACTCATCTCAAAATAAAAAGAGTTTATAGGGCTGGAGATGTAGCTCAGTGGTAGAACACTTGCTTAGCATGCATGAGGTCCTGGGTTCAACCCACAGTAGCCCACAAAAACACAGCAAGCCACAGGAGGCGTGCTGAAAGATGCTCTCAGGAAGGATACCAGGATGAGGCATGCAGTGTCCTCCTTTGACCCCAGATCCCCAGAAGACCCAGTCACCTCCTGGCACAACTATATTTACGAAACATGAGCTGTGGCCATGTTTCCCATGCCTGCCTCCTAGCTTAGGGAGGGCAGGCTGTTCCTGGCAGGAGCCTCACCCTGAAGGTCATGCTCACAAAGGCACATCTTGGAAACACCAGACTGCCTCTCCCCAGATGGGAAAATGAAGCCAGTGGAAGTTGAGACAAAGTATCGGGCTCGCCTGTCAACTTGGGAACAGTCATCAAATGTAACCCAAATCACTGGGTAAAAGAAGTGGGAAGCCCTGCCAGTCTTTTAGAGTTTTGAAATATTTTAGCCTCAGGAAGATGTGTATGCTTTAGCTAAACTTGTCACAGCACTTGGGAAAATTTATCTTATGATTCAAAACCAATGAGCACAAAGGTTTTAGTCCAAGATATTCGTTGCAACATTTTCTAAGCTACAAAATTATATTTACAATGGTACTGTGTGGGGTGGTGCAGTGTCTTGACCTTGATTAGCTTCACTTTCGTTGCCAGTTAAAGAAACAGGGGAAACCTTGGACAAAGCAGACAGAAGCAGCCCATGAAGAAAACACACACACACACACACACACACACACACACACACACAGAGAGAGAGAGAGAGAGAGAGAGAGAAGCATGCACTCACCCATGTACAGCAAGGCACCCAGAAAGACTTACAAAGGCCAAAATCCTGATTTTCCTTGAGAGCTAGGGCTTTAAAGGTCTTTGTGGAGTTTCCCTCCTATAGTTTGTCGCTGCAGTTTGAACCAACACAAGGAGGCTGATAGGCCCAAACGTTGTTGGAGTAAACATGTCCTGAGCCTGCCTTGAAACCATCATACCAATCTACAGGTAGGAATCCCTGCTGGCCAGAGAAAAAGCCCAAAAGTCCACCAGGCCTTCAGGTTTTTGTTTCTGGTCAGGAGTATACAGAAGAAACAGCAATTATGCCTTTTTCTTTTTCTATGTGTCTGTCTACTGAGGATCTGT